AGGAAAGCTGTGCGTCCTGCTACCATCAGCACTTTCACCGCCGTCCTCGCCAGACCGTCCCCGTCTCCTCTCATGTCCTTAATGACTCTCACACTCTGTCTCCTCTCTTCTCCTTCCTACCACCTTTCCCTCCCTCTTTTAATGTACTCCATGCCATGCCTGCATTCGGTTTTGATGTACAGAGCCACAGCCCTCTATCCTGATTCCCGATGCACTTAGGTGCAATCAATCAGACTGTAATTTTCCCGGCTGACACTTATATCCAGTCCTGAAGAATAAAGTATGATTGGTAGTATTTCTGAGGTCTTGACGTCCTTGAAAACAAACTCCTAAAACTCATTTTTACACAGTGTTGTGTTATATTGTACCTCTGTGCTGTGACATTCCTCGAAGTCACGGAGGGAAAACTATGAGGTCTGTTTAAAAAAAGGCTATTCATCATAAAAATAAATAGCAATGTTTAAGCATGACAGGTTAGGGTTGCATGAGTTCGATTTTCTGCTGCGGTCAAGTGAGCAAAAGCATTTCATTCTTTGGAATAAAGAATTCTTTAGAAAACTGTTCAGGACGGGCCGACTGTGGTGTTGCTGCTCGCAGCTTTTTCTCAATAACCGCACAAACAAACAACTTCACACACGACACTGCGCTTCCTTTGGTCCTCGGCAATACAACCGGCATGACAAAGCTGAGTCACACCCAAGTTTCAGCCACTCACGGTCAGAAACACCAGTGAAATACGCTCTGGTTTGTAGGAACAAACAGGGGCATCACCAACTAAAAGGGCCCCTAATAGTTTTAGCTTCTTATGATCTGAAAAATATTGAATCATGTTACTATTCCACCTCTTACAAAAGGCCCCTAAAACAATTAAAATATAGGTACATTGTGCTTGATCTTCCCTTGAAGTTTTACTCTCAATAGTTAATAGTTTTACTTCAGGGAGAGAGTTTGGAGTACTTCTTCTACCACCGTCGATGGCAACATTCCCAGAAAGAGAAAGGGTGAAGCTAGACGTTGTTTGCCTGGAGCCCTAAAAATCACTAAATACGCACCAAAACTCACCCAAGTAGCAGTTAATCGTGATGAGAAACACCAGTGAAAAACACCAGCAAGGTAGGCAACCTGGGCCTGGGACCCCCCAACTAAAAGGGCCCCCAAAGACTATGGATTTATTATGATTTTTAGATATGAAAAATGTTACTATTCCAACTCACTGAACCCCGAAATAACTTACAAAAGCACTTAGAAATACGCAACTCAGCTGTATACTCCTGACTGTGTGGCTGGCAAATCTCTCCCAGCCATTGTTTGGGGTTTCCTGCAGGGTTGTTTTTGGTACATATTGGCCTATCATACAAAAGGCGTGGAAGCGGAGGCACACACTGATACATAACAAGTGAGACAATAGCCAGACAGGGAGTCAGGACTCAGCACTCACCACTCACCTTGTAGATTAGTCCTAAATTAAAAACCTCATGCATACATTAATCTGTAAAGACCCAGAGGTACAGACACAACATGTGCTGGTGTTCCTGTAAAACGCACTCTTAAAGAGGCTTTGTGCCGGCGCCAGAAGAGAAATCGTAATCAGAGATATCGACCGACTCTTGATCGCTCAAAAAAGTGAGAGAGCCACCGGGGAGCGAGCCAGGACCGCTTCTTAACAGGCAGGCGGAAAAACTGGAGGTGAAGAATTGAATACGTATCAATACAGTGCTGTCAACTAACTAACTAACCCACACACCTACCTTCCTGTCCTTCTGTAACTCCTTTCCTTCTCTACTTCCACTTCTCAGCCTCCTATATGTCCTCCCTTCTCCCTACCCGTCTTCTTCCTATCGTATTCATGTCCATGTCGTATAAGCATTCTTTATTCTCATCAGACTCAAAGCACCGCACATATTCCTGGGGAGACACCGTCCCAGACAAATTAAATTATTTCAGGCTTAGCAGCTCTTTAAGGCGGGGTGACCCCAGAGAAAATAACATTTGAGGGTGGATTATTCATCGTATCAGAAGTGGGCCAATGTTTAATATGTAAAGTGACTCAAATCAGCTTTCTGAATGCTTATATCCATCGTTACATTATCATGCTCTGCGGTAGCCCTTTAAAGATCTAATTATGTGACAAACAGCCTGAAGAAAGCCGTTTTACTTCACTGTAAATGTTCCTCACTGTCAGAGCGGCGGTCGGACACTGAACAAGGCCAAGCTGGAGCCAGTCAGTGTGTTGATCTGAAAAGGAACGTACAGTCTATTGACCCCAATTCTGTGGGTCTGTGGTTTCTAATTTTACGGCCAGATTTCTCTCAGCGCTGACTGGAACGGATGGGCCCGGCCACGGGGGAGCAGGGACACCTGGCCGCCGAAGCCTCCGTCAGCACCGCCGGCCTGACAGGCCTGATGAATGCAGGCCGATGAGCACACGCACACGCTTTAGCTCCGCTACAGCAGAAGAAATGCAGCGCTGTAATGTGCTAAAGGTACGGTGGTGGAACAAACCTGCA